CGTGACCCAGGACCTGTTTGCCTTGGGAGACCCTACCAGGGACATATAGCCCCCGACAACATAGGATCACTCGGGTACTCAAACCCCTCCACCACAATAAGGTGGCGGTTAACTTTAAAATATGAATAATAAACATCTTTCCTGTATTTATTTTCCTCCTTTTGTCCCTACCACCCTTCCTACTCCAGACTCCATGCACATAGAGAACATTGAGGCTGTCCAAAGGCTCCAGGATTCTCTCCACGAGGCTCTACAGGACTTTGAGGGCTCCCAGCACCCGGAGGACCCTCGGCGGGCAGGCAAGCTGCTAATGACCCTCCCTCTGCTCCGTCAGACCGCCACCAAGGCTGTTCAGCACTTCTACAGCATCAAAATGCAGGGCAAAGTCCCCATGCACAAACTATTCCTCGAGATGCTGGAGGCCAAAGCTTGACACACCCGGGCCAGATGTTTGACAGACAGCTGCATCACCCAATGCAGGGCGAGAGACAGCTCATAAAAAAATCAAGGCAATGTGCCAAGTTTGGACTACTGAGTCATTTTAACACTTTTAAATGGTAATAAACATAAAATGAAAAGGGTTTTAAAAGGGTGACTATCCACCTGACTGGTGTGGGATCATGATGATGTATATAAAGATGCTGTGTACAGAAATCAGGCAATCAAGGTCTTATAACCAGTGACCCATTGCTCTGTATCACCTGAAGCTTCTGTAAATTTGTTTCTTATCTTATTTTCATCTCAAAATGGACGTGAGTCATTATGAATGTCCTAAAGAACTGTACGGCCATGTAGCCAAATTTTGTTTTTGTTTCTTTTTTCATATTTTTTAATCTCAGTTGTTAAAGCAATAGTCTCTAACTGGTCTACATATAGTACGTGTAATGTATGTTGTGTGAAATTGCACTGGGTGGGAACGGGGGCGTTGTTAGACATATTCTTATATTCGACATCAAAGAAAGTGGTACTCACTACGGGTATGTGAGCTCCTCGATTTCCTCGTAATATGTTTACCTCGTAGTAGCTTCATCGACTCAGTGCTTACAGAAGGACAGCGGTTGGCTCATCGTTGCAGTTCACAAAGAGTTTGCACTAAGCATCTATGAAGAATTTGGCAATAATGGGTGTTGTTTGGTAGCATCTGGGTGTCATTTAGTGGTTTTTGCTTACAGAGACTAAACCCCCTCCTCCCTCCACACATCCTTCTGTATTCAGTGTCACACAAATACTGGCAACTAAATATACTGTGAAACATACACATGATGTGCTACTGTATATTCTGTGCTGAGAAGTTTTAATCTTAATTGTAAGGCTTGTCAAAAAAACTTTATTTTATGTAAACAGAGATTAAAGGACACAATAACTGTCAGGTTTGCTCGGCTGCTCTGGCCTCCCTCACCTTTCCTACTGTCTCTTGCCCATTTACACTAATCACGTTCACCTGTTCCTCACTCCTTTATCACCAGCTGCACTTGATTAGGTTGCTCACTATATTACCCGGTTTCACTCCTCAGTCACTTGCCAGTTTGTTCTAGTCTCTAGGCCATTTTTTCTCCATGCTGTCTCGTTTTTTTTTTGTTGTATATTATTATTCCCTAGCCAGCTACTGTTTTGTGTTCTCCCCATGGACTGTTCCTCCGGACTGTGGCTCCACTCTCTCCTCCCAGGCAGGTCAATGCTCAGTCACCTATCTGTTCTACTATTGTCATCATCTCTCTGTCTCCACCTTCAGTAGCCACCATCACCACCGACCAGCCTAGGAGTGACCCAGCCTACGCAGCTCGGCCCAGATCTCCATCTCCTCACCTCCTACTGTTGGTCAACACCCAGTTATTACTCATCGACAGGACTACGCACTATTTCCCTCTGTGCATTTTGTTATTTCTCCTCATCACTGTACACAATAAATCACTGCTTGCATCGAAGTCGGCTACCTGGGTCCGCCTCTTTCTCGTTCGCTCACTGAGAGGTGTGAACGGCACATAACAGAACGAACTGGCCAACATGGATCCTGCCAGCTCCGGTGCAAGCGGTTGGTCATTTCAGTCATCTCAGGACGCACACATGGACCAGATGGCTCAGGCACTGCAGCAACACAACATCTGTGCAATTTAAAGCAGCCTTTAATGCAACCTGATAGCCCTGCAATAAATACTACCTTTGTGACACCTTTTAATATTCATATAGGTGCTGATTTGATGTTACGGTCATTTTTGAGTCTATACTTTGTGATGGTGCTGTAGATTGCATTAAATTGTATAGGTTTTGCTTTTACTTGTGTCTACCCCCTTTGTTTAAATTGTATTCTCAAAGAACAAGTGTCACTATATTGACATTAGTTCTGATCATATTAGGCCTTAGTCGTAAGTGATACCAAAGTGTATGTGCTAGCCTCACATATTTGAACTTTAATCAGTTTTTAAGGTTCTGTGTTTGTTCTTGTAGACAGAGTGGACTACAGGGTACAGTACTGAGGCTCTAAGAGAAGAAATGCTGACATTTTGACTTAGTCAGCATTAATATAAAAGATGTTGCATTCTTATAGCTGCTCGTAACTCATTCAGATGGCAGCGTGAACACGACGAAAGGCCCGATGACCTCGTGAATAGCTATAAGCTCCAGCAATAGGCTGATTATTCAATTTTTGAATTGACAGAAATGTAATCTGTGCATTATCTCATCTCATTTTCTACACCCGCTTAGTCCCTAAAGGGGTTGCGGATCTGTACATTATGATAATAAAAATAATCATTTGTTTCTTAAAGCAGAACTGTCTAAAGTGAGGAATGATCAGACAGAACAAGACTATTTTCTGACATTTTATAGACAAAATGTTTAGCTGCTTAATCGGAAAAATAACTTTCAGAGGAATAAAGAGTATTTATTGGCTGCAGCCCTAATTTCTCATGAAAGTGGGGAACATATGGCCAATGCCAAATTTGAAACATGCTTTCCAAACCATAGCAGCAAGGCTAAAACGTACTCGTACATGAGCAGCTGATTTGAAAATACACAGAACTGCTTGATAAATATTTCCATGAGAAATGATTTTGATCCTTGTGGTCAATCTGTGCTTCAAGGTGGCGAGTAAAAAAAACAGCTTTGATTTTTATTACTAACAATGTTCAGGCCCTTTATCTCCTTGCTTTTCTTAAATTTAGGATGGCAACCTTTTAAAACTGTTTGGATATGACAATATAACTAGCAGAGGCTTAAATGTTTGTTTGCAGCAATATAATGACACTTGTATGTGAGAGAATAATTTTAACTACACAATTACATTTGAAACTAATCAGTAATGATAGGGGGTTAGCTCATCTTTAATTAAGGTGCTAATCACTTAAATTGGCACTATATGTACATTTCACTCAGACACACTGAAATGCACAAAGTTAATAAATCTGTATATTCTAGAAATAATAGTACATTTTAAGAATTTAATATCTGTTGTAAACTGGCTGCCAAATTATTCAAGGAAAGCAATAAGAGTAATATTAAACAGGTATCAACATAGTCCGTCATGTCTTGGGAAGCTGAACACATTAAACAGAAGATGTTATAAAATCTAAATGATACAGTAATAGGTTAATCAGTTCCTCATAGGATTTTAGTGAGTAGATATTGTCCCTTATGAACACTTGAAAGCAGCCATGTCTTTAAAGTGTCAAGTGCCGCTAGCTTTTGCTGAAACAAGATGAAAATATAAAACCAAACGCCCAGTAACTACACACCATCCCCACAGGAACAGATGCTATTGATTCACTGTAATGTAATGCATAGATAATTATAACCCAATACAGCAGAGAATACAATTCCCATGATGCACTTCCCCAAATGTGTAACCAGCTAATCCATTCCCAGGTGAAATGAAGGATTTGCCACCTTTGTACAGTAGAAAGCCAAAGCATAGTGTTGTCACATACTTTAAAATGAGCCACTAGTAACTAGTCAGTGAACATGACTGCAGTATTTACAGTATATTAAAAGCAGTTATACCTTCATTCTGCAGAGTATTCATTTGCATCCATTTAATTTGACTGTCCTTGAAACCTATGATAATGATAATAGCTAAATATGGTGGAGCTTTCTTATCTTTCTTGTTAACATGAGACTGTGTGAAGTCTCACCCTGTAGCCTAAGAGATGAAACGACCATAAAAACGATGTTGTCGTATTACGATGCTTAACGGAGATGGTTTCAATAAGCTCCATTTGTTCATGTTGTGCTGGCTGTGTGGAATATTAATGAACACGCTGTGGACAAAAACTTGACCAAAATGTTTACGTACCTTCTCTGTGCACTTTGAAGACTGATAGCAGATAATTGTTTCCCAAACTTTCCCTTCTCTCAAATTAATATGAGAAAATAAAAGAAAAATGCTCAATTTATTTTCAGAGTTCTAAAAAAGTTCTACTACATCCAATTAATTCTAATTGTCTCCTAAGCTGAAATTCTCAATAGAAATGGAGCAATTAAATTTCTGCTTTGGTTGTACCTTGGGGACAAGAGACATTTTATTTCGGTTGGCGACGGGGAGGGTTTGTCTAAACCTTTAGAAAGGCGATTTCATGGGTGTCTGTAATAGTTTCGTAACAGTGATCACTGGGCTATGCAAGGCAAATATGGCCACCTATGTGTTGTAGAGCATCAGACTGACATTTAGTGCTTTGTTTACAACGTGGACATACTGTACAGTGCTGTACACTGCAAATGTATTGTGCATATTTCACTATACTATACTGTAGCTGCTGTGCATTGATGTAACTATGATCATTTGTTCAATTTGAATGCCTGTTTAATCCATTTTTTATGATGTATTAGCAACTTCAACACAGATTTAGAGCCCACCCGAATTGTTGTATAATACAAGTTCCTGCAATGAGTCAAAGGGTAATTAGTCATGTGAGAATATATTATGCTTTGTCTAAGGTGGTGCATTCTCTTGTTTTCTTTTTGTTTTCTGTCTTTGTGTCTTTTGGTTGTTGGCACAGCAGGACGTATAGTGAGTGAAGTCATCTAGACCCTATACCTCAGTTCATATTTTGAAAATTACAGTGCGTTTGGAAGCGGGCCATGGTTTCCTCCTGGGAATCAGTGGCACAGAAATAAAGTGACATCACTGACTGGGTATTAAAAAAATGTAGATGAACTTACTGCGACTGGGGAGCACATTCCTCGGAGGAGAAAGCTGCTTATTCGCTGTTCCATTTGCGGACTTAGCTCCATGCACTGAGATGACAAGATTTACATAAAACATGGAGGAACCTCCCTGGCCGTTCTGGTCCACGTTGTATAAAGGACCCTACTAGGTGTATGTACCATAGACATGTGATTACCCAAGAGGTTTACTCCCTTCAAAAGCAATATCTTAGCAGCTGTGATATATGGATAAAGTTAAAAGGGAGCCTTGGTTTATTTTAATTATAAATTTGCCCTGTGCTCTGTAAAAGGCAGGGTCACTATGCACACACAGTCCTGGGAAGGCGAAAAGAGAAAAGTTTGAAGAATGTAAAAAGCCAATGAAACAGCTGGTTTTCACTGGACAGTACTGTGTGGTATTTTCTTGTGTTTTGTTTGTTGTGTTCATGCCTGCTGTACCCATGTGTAAATATATGCTTTTTTGAGTGACTCAGATCTAACAGTGCACTGAATGTACAGTGGCAATAAAATCACATGATTTATGTAATCACTGCAAATGACTTCTTGAAAAATATGTTCAACAAACATGGGAAGAAATCAAATAATACAAAACAGTCTTTTAACAATACTATAAATATGTTGCATTACCAGTTTTGTCACGTTTACAAGGGTCCTGATAAAGGGAACAAATACCCACATACTGAATGTTTTGACCACAGTCTTCATCATCACAAAGCTGAGGAGGACCATTTCTGATCAAAATGTCCACACAGACATTTTTTGTGCACACTGTTTACCAGCACCTGCAAAATTTTGGAGATGCACCCTGAGAATTGCCTCTGTGATCAATAATAGACTTGGGCTTATGAACCACTTTGAGCACAGGTTTGATAAACTCTTAAATATGTGAAGGCACTGTTCGATGTCATATATTGCTTTGTTATCAACAAAATAATTGTGATCAGTAATTTTAACTTCCTGCTCTGATCATAAGCATCTACTATGTATCCAGTGCCTAGCAAGGCCAATCGTGTGTGTGTGTGTGTTTATGTGTGCACTTGTACATTAAGCAAGACAGGGCCTTGGGGTGTAACGGCATCTTCGTGCCCTGGCTGTCAGTTGGTTAGCTGTCTACACAGTGTCCCATTTGACCTTGTGTTGGCTAAACCGCTGGCTGAATACACATCTGACACACTCCCTTCCTTTGTGGTGCAATCCTGCGGAAGTCATTTCATCGACTGGGCTTTCAACTTCAGCCAATATGGAGGTTGGGG